CTGCTGTCATGTTTTTTGCTATTACCTTTCTCCAACCGGTATGTCAGTGTGATACCCACAAGCAGTAAAACTTTTCATAACACCAACAATATTACAGTGTCTCGCATTTTGACAAGACAAAGTCCATGTATTTAAAGTTTGAAATTCTTTTCTCTCCTATTTGTCATTATTCTGGGCAGCCTCAGCCTGAGGCTGTGTTTTGATCACACTGAGGATTTGGTCTTTCACCACTTCCAAGGTTGAATTCACCCATTTTCTAGTCTCTTGGGTGTCACCCTTTTAAAGGGTCCAAATGGTCCAGAGAGACTCTAAGATGACACCTCACCAGTCTACCTCAGTCCCCTGAGTGTCCCACCCAGGAAAGATGTTCACATTGGTCCATTTCTCTTTCGTTGACCTCCTGGCTCCTCCTTAATGTGGCTCAGCTATGTTCTACTGGGCTGTGGAAAAGTAACTCCATCAGTGTTTCAAGTGTGCTTCCCAGGGCACAGGCTGTTCCTACTCTAATAATCCTGTTGCTTTGAAATTATCTAATCACACCTATATTTTTCTTCAGGGACTAGTTTAAGAGTTCAGGAAGTTTAACATTCTGTAACAACCTAGTAAAGCTGTCCCACATTCAAGGTTGATTCCCAGATTGGTCTTATTAGAGGATCGCTCTATCTTTAGCTACCTTTCAGGAATATTTGGACTTGGAGCTCTTGGAGATTTTACTCTTTTCCTCTGTTAGAGTACTTGGGATCCCAGTAACGCTTTGTGATCTCATAACAAGTGAAATAGTCTTCTCTTTCCTCCCTCCCCCTCCACCCTCACCAAGAGGATCCCTCCTCCACCAGCTTAAGCAGTATATTTCCCCTAAATTTAACTCCACTATCTGCTTGTATATCTTAAAAGCAAATCTACTTTCTCTTTGGTTTATACAGAAAGTGTTTTAAATACAATCCTTTATATTTCCTTTTTAGCCTCTGGGTTTCTAATAATTTCATCGTTTGTCCCCTTTTTCTACCCTGGTTGATGTGTGATCTTCTGTGATCTAGCACCTGTGGTCATGAAGGCTGTTACCAAGATGTCTGTGCAGGGCAGGGGGGATGGGCGGTGGTGGGGCTGCAGGAGCCGAGTAAGTATGAGTCATGAATGTCTCCGTATTCATGTGTTTTATGTTCTACTTGTTAAGTCTGAGAAAGATACCAAAGAAGAAATCCTGAAAGCTTTCAAGCTCTTCGATGATGATGAAACTGGGAAGATATCGTTCAAAAATCTAAAACGTGTGGCCAAGGAGTTGGGTGAAAACCTCACCGATGAGGAACTGCAGGTTTGTGATGCATCAGCCTGGGGCCCTGTGTGACTTTTCTGACTTACATTTTCTCTGGTTACATATGAAGGAAAACTCGTGTTCTCTCTGTTGACCACTTAATTTCTCTTTTGATAGTGTGACAAACCTATGGATGCTGCTCCCAGAAAAATACACACGTGAACAGTTTTACTTACTATTTTAGGTTTTAGGAATCTCCCTAGTCAACATGATCATTGAGCTTCCTTCTAGGTGATACACATGTGGCAAAGTATGGCTTGGTTTTCAAATGACTTTTCAGGAGCCAAGCCATTATAAAAAGCAGCACATTTGCATCAGGTGGACCACAATTGTCTATTCATGTAGCATTTTAAAAGCCTATTACTTCGTCACATTTTCGTTTCATTTATGGATTAATCTAACCGGAATCTTTTCTGTGCTGAAGGAAATGATTGATGAGGCCGATAGAGATGGAGATGGAGAAGTCAATGAGCACGAGTTCCTGCGCATCATGAAGAAGACCAGCCTTTATTAAGATCAGTGTCATCTTTTATAATGCGAGCACATGGAACTCAATTTCGTGCCTGCTGTTGTCTGAAGCCTGGTTTTTGAGAATGTAAATTATGTTTCCCCCACTGACCTCTCTGTATGACTTTAATAATAACTCTGAATCTATTTTCAACTTCTGAAAGTGTTCTTTGAAATTGAGGTTCTTTGCAAGGTGACCTGCTGACTGCTTTAATTCCCCAGGGCAGAACGAGAGCACGTTAGAGTGGAGAAAAGGGTCTTTGAGCTTTTGCGCACCTGCTATTCTGCCTTGTATCGCTTAACTCCTGTCCCGCATTCCCACAGTTATGCCACTGCAGAGCAACTTCTTCACAAGCACATGTTGTACTTGTGTCACCACAAGCAGGGGGCATCTCTTCAATGGTTCCAATTTTAATTGGCACCTGAGTGCAGCTTTCTCTCTCTCTCTCTCTTTTTTTTTTTTTTTTTGCGGTAGGCGGGCCTCTCACTGCTGCGGCCTCTCCCGTTGCGGAGCACAGGCTCCGGACGCGCAGGCTCAGCGGCCATGGCTCACGGGCCCAGCCGCTCCGTGGCACGTGGGATCTTCCCGGACCGGGGCACGAACCCGCGTCCCCCGCATCGGCAGGCGGACCCTCAACTGCTGCGCCACCAGGGGAGCCCGCAGCTTTCTCTTTTATAAAACCCAGTGAACTCTCTTACTTGCATTTGGGTGTGTGTGTGTGTGTGTGTGTGTGTGTGTGTGTGTGTGTGTGTGCGCGCGCGCTATTTGTTTTGTCTTCAAATAAAACCTTTCTTATTTTGAGCTCTTGTTCTCTAAGGATGACTTCTTTAGCCTTGACTGTGAGTTCAGCTTCTAAACCATTTCATTGAACGTAGCCTGGTAGATCCCAAACTCCTTGCCAGCCCGTGAACAGAAAACAAAATGATCCTTTACTATGGATGCGAATTGCTTTTTGCCCTGGGAACCCATCAGTTTCTAAAATTAGATGACTGTTTTGCATAAGCCTAAATGATGCCCCAAAAAATAGTTTTGGCAAAGTGTACAGCTGGAAAAGAGTCTTACTGGGGACAAATTGGGGAAAAAGCCAGGTGATTGTGACAGTAGGTTGAGCTTAGCCAGCCTCTGGTCAGTTTATTTGCTGGATGGTGTCTCAGAATCTCTGTGTGGTTCGGGTCCAGTGACCTTGT